TTGAAAAAACTGGTATCGGGACACCCCTAATAATAATAAAAACAACAATATTGAACCGGGCTGACAAGTTTTCTGCCACACAAATGACATAGATTCTGAATTATAAAAACATAACAAAACATATATCATTTAAATGGCACAGAGTCCCTTCTGAGTTTGTTTTTATACTGTGCTTCTTTGCCAATTAGCTCAAATTATTACAAACAAATTGTATAATTTAGATTGATACCACAAACAGCACCAACATAATTTTGTTTATGAAATCCATAATGGCTGCACCACTTCAGAGCAACTGTTCCAGCACTCCATGACCACTAGATGGTGCTGATATTCATTATATCGCTTCAGATTTCAACAAGCATGCCTTGGCATTACCACAAGACTAGACACAGCAGGCTGCTGCAGATTATGTGTGACTGCAAAATTTCCAAATATTYGTAACTAAACCCATGAATACATAAGCRAATATGCTTTATCTGTGTGTRTACATATATAAATGACTGACTCACCAAGACTTGGGCTGTCCAAAGTGTAGATAGTTGATACTGTAGAGGTCCATGTCTTCAGTGTGCCATGCGAAGGTGGTTTTCCACATGCCAAAATACAGGTATGGTGTATTGACACCCTCAATGACAATGCCACACTCCTGCTCCACCATATCCAACAGTGTGTTRAGATGACCAATGTTCCACTCTTGAATGTCCTGGACAGAGTAAGTATGCATTCTCATGAACAACACACATAAAAAGCCATTTAAAACTGTTTTTTTATGTAATGTGACAAACATATAGTGCTCTATATTCAGCTATAYATGTGCTTTATTCACCATTATAATAGTATTTCTTTTCCAAGGTGTTAGTTTACTCAAAAAAAAGGAGAAAAAATGTTTAATTTTCACCTCATCATATATAGAGCCACTAACATCAGCCCCATAAATGGGCGAAACAAACGTCAGGTTCTTCCAGTATTTCCTCTCCAGGTCATCAAAGTCTTTGTGGCGAGGTGTGCAGTACCTGAAGGAAAAAAACAAAACACATTTTAACCAAGTCAGAAACCCTCAAATGTTTTAGTATTTCAAATATTTGTCCACTAAATCACATTTTTTTATCTAGCAATATTTTGTCAATATTATGTTTATGTTTGCATTTCTCTCTAAGCGTTTAAACGTGAAAGACTGTTTTTTGCAAACTGCTTTACTTCACAGCAGCAAAGGAAGAAAAAAAATAAAGCAACTACAAGGAATGTCATGAAGAATTCCAAATTTGTTTACAATATTTCATTTTACAATTTTAAAATCAGGCCAATAGAAGGCAGAATTGACAAATTTGATATAAAACCATCAGCAGGGAGATGTATCACCTGATTTTAACTGGTTCTAAACAGAAACAAATAAAATAAAAATAGTGGTGGATGTAGCATGTCTGAGAGTAGGTTTTTTTAAATAGATTATAAACTGTGTTGTTTCAAGGTCAACATTGGTCACAGCTTTGAACAAAGTAATAAAAAGCTTCCCAGTGAGAAATGAAWTTTAATTCTCTGTTACTGTTAATGCTTAACTTGTCTTAGATTAACTTCAGTCACTACTCAAGTTTTCAGCTTATTTTAATGTGCTCCCCGAGATTAGTKGTAAATCAGTTTCTAATTCAAGGACTTTTTATACAAATTATTTTGTATTCCAAGCACAATAAATCCAATTTAAAAATGAACCCTTAAAATTGATTATCTTTAAGACAAGAGCTACTATTTACATGCTCAACTCATTTAAAAAAAAACCTCTTAAACATTTTGGTCAAAAGAAATAACTGAAACGTCTTCAGTGTTAAAGGCTCTGTCACTTTGTTTTAGACAACTTACKTCAACTTGTAAAAATTGTGTTATGACAAGTTGGCATAAGTTGCCTAAAACGTTTATGTGTGACATGGCCTTTAGTTTGCTGACATGTGATCACAAATCATTACCTCGAAGGAAAAAACAAGACTTAGAAGCATTTCTGTAGTCAATTATTTCAAAACACAGAAGGGACAGAAACTACGAACATGAAGAATTGTTGACATTTTAACTTCTCATGAGGTCATAGGACTGACGATAAACTTACTTCTTGCTGTTAGCCAGTTTGCGGTATTCGCCAACAGTCATAGATTTCTTCTGGATGTTGTATTGAGTAAATAGACCTGACTGACCAGTCACCACCTGCATAATAGGAGCTGGAATCACCATTTCTTCAATAGTGTCATAYGAACTTCGTGGCTTCCAGCCTTCAGGGGGAATCACCTGAAAAAACAAAAAGGAATTGTCACATTTTCATATCTCTTCAGTTACTTATAGGGCTAGAAGAGAACAAAGAAACTTTACTTAGCTAATAATGTTAGAATTAGGGATGGGGCTGAAACCATCCAGAATCGGTAATGGATTCCGATACCARCATGATTAATAGATTTGAACAGGGTTCCCACACCTTGGTCAACATCAAATTCAAGGACCTTTCAAGGACTTTCCAGTACCAACTTCCTCAAATTAAATAACCACGCGCAACAGCAATTATCTACTGCTACCGCAGAATGTTACCAATAAACAGGTTTAATATTATGTAAATTCAATGAAAAACTGAACAACATAGAAGTTGTTGAGTCAGAAACAATGATGTCAGTTTACCGTAATCCTGAGTTATCCTCCGCAACAAATGTAAGTTATTTTTATTTAATTTCATAATTTATTTTTTTAAAAGATGATGAAAATCAGTCGTGTGAATAGAGAATTTCAATCCCCAAAAAACCTTCAAGGACTTTCAGGGACAAGTGTAACTTTTGACTGTTTTCACAAACTTTCCAGGGCCTTGAATTTTTTTCAAATTCACAAACTTTCAAGGACTTCAAGGACCCGTGGGAACCCTGTTTGAATATACTGATCCAACGTGGGGAGATTTCCAATCCATGAGTGGTCTGTGTGCTTTAAAGTTGTCTGCAGAAATGACTCCAGAAGGGATTCCTGCCTGGCTGCTCTGCTAGCTGACTGCAAACTTAAGTGTATTTCTTGAATGGATGCAAGTCTCTCAATGAGACACCAAGTGAGACACCCCTCTGTTCAGGAAATCCATTCCAGTTTGCAGCCAGCTAGCAGACGATCAACTCTGTGGCTAACCAGCTTTTCATCACTCTGTGTGTTTAAAAGTAGACTTCAAACTCTACACTAGTTTTTAAATTGTGCTGATAAGCCAAGTAAAACCAGAGTTATAAAATAATTAATATCTAACACATTTTTTTCTGAAAATTATCGTCATTTTGAAATGCATTGGCAATGTGAGGGAACAGGAAACAAGAGCAGACTCGTGGAGAAAACACTCCGATCGTCCATCACTCAGCCCTCCCCTGAGCCGAACAAACAACCATCTCCTCCTTTCTGACTGAGGCACAAAGTTTATCAGGTACCAAAAATACTTGAAGGTTGAATGAAGCTTGGAAGCTTGGAATAATGAGTGAAATATGTGATATTTAGCCTGTTTGGACTTTATAACTAAGGTGTAATTTTAGTGTTCAGTTTAGTCAGTTTTAGTGTGTTTGAGTCAAAACAATGAGGCGATTTTTGAACATGAAAGCACAGCTTCTGTTTGAGGTGGAAATAAAGTTTTGCTAAATTTGTTCACATATTTATGAATATTCAGGGCTCTAGACTAACATTTTGCACTAGTGCACCTAACTTTTTTTTCCTTAGGTGCACCAGTTCAAAAGTTAGGTACACCCAAATTTTCAACCACGTCACATTTAACACTGAAGTTTTACAGGTTCATTTTTTTCAAACTACTGTCCACTAAGGCAATATTAACTTGCGGATAAATAGTTAACCATCTAGTAAACATCAAGTTCTATATTTGAACCAGACCTATAACTTACTGAAAAGTATTTAAAATGATTCTATGAAAATTCCAAGTGCAAATGTTTAAGGGTTGAATATCTTATTAACATCTCAAACTGAACATTTCATGGCTAAATGTYTTTTAGACCAGATATTTTTACTTTGGGCCACGACCCAGCGCGACCTTGAGGGCCTCAAAAGAACAACAGTTCTTAACTTTGGGCTGCAGAGGGCCGTGGGACCGCATTGATTTTGACTAAAGTGCAATACACTTTCTCACCACTAGTAGCAGTAGTGCGCTGGTTTTATCACGCAGTATTTTAAAAAGTTCAAAACATTATCAAATACAGTTGCAGGTACTGCTATATTTTAATTTGCACTTTATCAAATTATTTTAGCTTATTTTTTAAATATCTTTAATGTATTTTAAAGAAACTAAACTTGCCAAAAAGCTGTTTTTACTGTTATTGTTTGTCACTAATATGAACAGCAGTTTCTGTTTCTACCATGCAAAAGTTTTAAAAAGGCTTTATTTTCATTCGTACTTTATCAATTTTATTTTTACAGCTTTATTGTATTTGAAACATTTAAAAAAATTTAATTTATTTATTTTATGCCCACATTTTTATTTTTTGAATAGTCTATTTTTGTTATTGTTTATGTTAAAAAATATGTATATATTTTTGTGTTGATAAGCCTGAGTGGTCTGTTGACTGACCTTTGTATTTGTTCAAATAATTATGGGCAGGTTACAATATAAAAAATGTTTGTCATAATCATGTCTTGTGATTATTTGACAGGAGTTTTACTTCTATAACATAAGTGTATTTAATTTAGTTATAATTTAAATGCAATAAAAATTAAACCAAGATTTAGAATAATTACCATTTTGATCTGTACATTGGTCATGTCTGACTGGGCCTCGTGACAATTTATGTTCAACAAATTGGGCCCCGAGGTTAAAAAGGTTAAGAACCCGTTTTAGACTACACATGCCCCTCAGATGGYCAACTCTTGTCGTTTGGCTATCTGGATCTTTGGCCTTGTCTAAACCAGAATGATGAAAAGAGAATAATKATTAATAGCAGAAATATTACCATTTATTAAAAGAGTGTACAGCTTTTTAAAAATAAAAATAACAGAACATGAAAAAGTCTGCAATTTAATTAGCATCAGTTGAATCTTATGTATCTATCACACTTAAATAACTAATATGTCTACTCACAAAACTAATTTCAGATATTTGGAATGTAACTGTGTTGAAGTGTAAAAGCAGTCTGCCATACAGGTGAGCTTCCTCGTGCTGCTGAAATGATCTGCGCTGTGTTCACACTGCTAGACTGATTTCTTAAGAGACATGGAGACWTTTTGTGTGGGCGGGCGACAGGAGTTGATACTGCTAGTGATTTATTATGGGACACGAAATATTTTTGTTTCGGAGGGCGACCACTCCCTCTCCCACTTTAAGCCCTAGTTAGAATCAAACCTTTATGAGACCACTAGTAGAGCTCGGTAATATGATCAAAATTTTATATCACGGTATTTTCAACATTTTCACCGGTTTCACTGTATTTGACGGTATTTTTCTTTTCATCACACCTCAGCTGATAAGAAAATGTACAAACCCTGCTTATTGACTTTTTTTTCTTTGACGGTACCTTAGGGGTGAAAGAAAATATTGAGACACTGAAATATCGCG